TATTCACTTTTAAAGCATTGTGTTCTAGACTGTCACTTGACTTTTAATTTTGTCATAGAGGAGTTTAAAGTTTGGGGGTAGTTAAGAATTCAATCTTTTCTTTATGGCTCCTAATTATTTTAATTTATTTTTTTGTGGCTCCTAATCTGGCCTAAAATATTTCCTTGTATTTCTCTTCACTCTTTCATAGTTGTTTTTGTTTTGTTTTGTTCATTTGATTTCTGATGGGGGTTCTTTTTTCTCTCAACATTATTTATTTATTTATTTATTATTTTTTAGTTGTAGGTAGACACAATACTTTCATTTTACTTATTTCTATGTGGTGTTGAGGATAGAACCCAGGGCCTCACATGTGCTAGGCAAGCACTCTACCGTTGAGCCACAACCCCAGCCCCTTCCCTCAACATTTTTAAGGACAAACAACAAGTTATCAAACATACTGGAATTGTCAAAAAAAATTTTTTTTTGAAAATTTATGAAAAAAGTAACAGTAAGATTAATAACTGTAAATAATTGAAACCTAGAGCCTCACACATGCTAGGCAAACGCTCTGCCACTGAGCTACAGCCTCAGCCCATGTCTCTTTCTTAATACAGAAATTTATGGAAAAAAACAACATGTAGTCAGAGATTTGCTTTAAAAATAGTCCATTTTCTGTTGATGATAGCATAATACTACAAACTAAGTCATTCAGAAAAAAAGAAGAACAACAACAACTTTATTTGGCTCATGGTTTTGTTCCTAGGTCAGGGGCTGCTTCTGAGGGTGGCTTCCTAGTGGGCAGAGTCCCAGGAGTCCCAAGGAGTCCCAAGGCAGCTCATTAGGACACACACTCCCTCCCCCTCCCTCCCTCCCCTTCCCTCTCTCCCTCTCCCTCCCTCCCTTCCTTCTTCCCTTCCTTCCTTTCTCGCACTGGGATTGAGCCCAGGGCCTCTACCTGCTAAGCCAGAGCTCTTCCTCTTCCTCTTCTTACAGAGCCACCTGAATTGGGGCTCCACCCTGCTGCCTTATCCAATCCTAACCACCTTCCGAAGGACCCACCTCCACACACCACAGTTTGATTGTTTCCCCTCTCTTACTTCCCACTGGGGGTTAAATCCCAACCTGAGCTTGGAAGGGGCCAAACCATACTCAAACCCCAATAATCATAGGCCAGGTGGGGACAGACAATGGGGAGGGTCATTTGTTTACTGTTGAAGCTGGATGGTGGGTACACGAGGGTTTGTGATGCCGTCTTTAGTATTATTATGTTTGAAATTTTCCAAGATGAAAATAACTAATAGACCAAACAAGCCATCAGACATGACTTCCGGGTCAGCAGAGACAATCCTAATGGAACCTCTTTTCAGATCCTCCGGGGGAAGAGGGGGCTACCACAAAAGAGTTCAGCTGCTCACGTCCACCTGCCGGTCACTGTGAGAAGGCCGGGACACACTGAGTTGCTTCATGCAAGCAGTCTGCCTCTGCAGGCCAAGAATACCCGCCTCAGGAGAGCTGGCCTGGGACCGAATGTCCCCATCACTCAACTCATAAAACATGGCCAGAGGCCCACTGAGTTTGTATCAAGGGATTTTAATAAGCACATTTTCTTCGTGTGATTTTTGTTTTCCAGGATTTTCTTCTCCAAATTTGAACTCAAATACGAATGTGGTCGTATTGGGTCAAAATGTATCTCTGCTTTGCTCCCACAAGAATGAGTCACTGGAGATCAAATATTTATTGTTTTTGAATAAGAAATTGCTGGGCAACCGGACAGGAAAAGGGGAAGCCGTGACTTTTAACGTGACCATCTCCACAGCCGATGATTTGGGCTCCTACAAATGCAAAGCCGTGCTCTTCAACTGTTCGACCTACAGTAACCCATTCAACTTCACGGTCAGTGGTAAGTAAGTCACCTGCCACTTGGAGGTTCTGCAATCGTGGGATTCACTTTTGTTCCACCAAGGGCTCTTATGCCCCTGGCCAACATTCAAGAGGCTTGTTTGTTGCTGAGGTCTTTATTATTTTTTTGTGGGGGGGGGTGCCAAAAAAACAACAACAACAAAAAAACGAGGGGCACTAGACCACTGAGCCACACCCCCAGCCCTATTTTGTATTTTATTTAGAGACAGGGTCTCACTGAGTTGCTTAGTGCTTTGCTTTTGCTGAGGCTGACTTTTAACTTGCAATCCTCCTGTCTCAGCCTCCTAAGCAGCTGGGATTACAGGCGTGCGACACCTCGCCCAACAGGTCTTTATTCTTAATAATCCTACTTCACTTTCTCCTTCAGAGACCTTGAACTATTTCAGATAATAGTCTTAGATCTTCAGGCAAACATCATAGATCTCAGAGGCTTTATTTTATGATTACCAGCTATGGATAAAACCTCCTTCTTTCTGAAGACTCAATTAAGAAGTCTTGGAATCAGGGCAAAATAGAGTAGAAATCATATTTTTAAAAGGAATATGCATAACAGGGAGAAAATCCCAATAAACACACAGTGCATAAGGTAAAGGCAGTAAACCCATGAATACGTATGTTCTCTGTACACAACTTTTCTTCAATTTGTTACACTGTCCTGTAAATTGGTAAATTCTAAAACTATTCCAGGCATGGTGGTTCTGTAATCTCAACAACTCAGGAGGTTGAGGCAGGAGGATCCCAAGTTCAAGGCCAGCCTTAGCAACTTAGTGAGGCCCTGAACAACCTAGTAAGACCCTGCCTCAAAATAAAAAATTAAAAGGGTTAGGGATGTAGGTCAATGATAGAGAGCCCTGGGTTCAATTCCCATTGTCAATCAATCAATCAATCAATAAATGCCATCTTTAATTAAGTCTTATCAATAGATACTTATTAAGTGCCTACTCTGAACACGCAGTTGTGCTCCTGGGATTTCAGTGATACCTAAGACATGGTTGTGTCCCCAACTCAGTAAAAGGTGAAGGTCTGAGGCATAAACACAAATTCCTCCATCACTGATTGCCTAGCCCATCTGGTTCCTGGCCTGCCGGAGCTTCTGGTCTAGTAGGAGAGACAAACACAACTACTCAAACAAATAAATCACAAAGGAAAGGAAGGCAGACGAGGAGGAGGGACCTACCTAGGTAGAGGGTCTAGGGAAGGTATCTCAAAGGGGCTGATGTTGGGCTCCAGCGTGTTCAGAGCTTCAACTCGGGGAGGCTGGTAGAGCCGCTGGTCAGCTGAGGCGGGGTGTGACCCACGATGAGGCTAGAGAGAGAGGGGACCAAGTTAGGAGGGGCCTGGAGCATGGAGAGAGCTTAGTCTTCCGTGTGCATGGACAGGCGGGCAAGCATCAGGACACCATCTGCCATCTGTGCAGCTAATTTGTTCAAAGCGGGTACCGGGCAGGGTGCAAGCTGAGGATTGGTTGGGGAGCTCCTGAAGTCATCTAGGAAAGAAGCGGTGGTGGAGATGAGCAGATGTGGATGGATTCAAGAAATATTTTACAGGAGGACCTGTTGACCGATGAGAGTCGCAGATGGTGCAGGTTAGGAAAGAAGCAGAGCCACTTCCAGGTGTGTAGTTTGATGAAGAGGGGACTGTCCTCTGCTATGGGAGAAAATGGAAGAATAGGGTTTTTTTTAAAACATGGTACAAGGGATTGAACCCAGGGTGCTTTGCCACTGAGCTATATCCCCAGTGCCACACACACACACACACACACACACACACACACACACGTTGTAGATGGACACAATACCTTTATTTGATCTGTTTATTTAATTTTATGTGGTGCTGAGGATGGAACCCAGTGCCTCACACGTGCTGGGCATGCCCTCTACCACTGAGCTATAGCCCTCGTCCCAGCTCTTTTAACAGTTTGATTCTCCCACAAGATAGAGCATGATTTGTCAGAGCACACCAGACCTCTGTATTTCCTGTTGAGAGTTTCCCTCGAATCTATTTAGCAAGGTTACTTCTGCTTTGCAGAGGAAGTAGAAGATAACTGTGCAGCTGAATTCTATAAGTGAAAATACAGATAGAATATTTTTGGATGGAGAACACAAGTCACTCTCTACCTTACACTGAGAGCTGAACCATTGACAAAACTATACTCACTATCAACGATAAGCAGATTGAAAATTCTGTAAAAGGCAGGCTCAGACCCTAGTTCTTCAAAGCAGAGACACACGCCAACTTCTGGCTTGGTAAACCACTGACTCTTGTTGCGATGCAGCCAGGAGGGGACCTTGCCAGACACCACACTGTTTGGACTTTCCATCAAAATCAAGAGCCAGATAAACCTCTCTTCTTAGTACATTACCTGGTGTCAGGCATTTTGTTATAGCAACTCAAAAGTGGGCTAAGACAGTGAACTCAATCTGCTTAGTCTTTAACATGTCCTTTCATCCTTCTAGACCTGGTGACTTCCCCAGTGCTAACCTTCAGATTGATCCAGCAGAAACAAACCAATATATAACAACACCACACTGCATCTTTTTCAATGGCTTGCGTAATTGTACTTTCTTTTCCTGAGTTCTTTCAACCGGCTCTGGATTTGCTTCCAGACACTGCAGCTGCCTCTGTACCCACCCACTTCTCATTTTGGCCACCTACTTCCAAATGCAAGGTCCCTCTGGTAGGGTCCACACAAGCTCTGACGGAATTGCTCTCTGACATAAAAGGACAAATGAGTTAACCGGTGGGTCACAGGTGCCTACTGTGCCTCAGGGATCAGCTGCACAGTAGGCCGGTTGCCTTGGGTGATGGCCCTTCCTGCCAGGTCAGTGTCACTGGGGAAGACGGCCATGCACTGACCAGGGATTGCTGTCTTCTTCCAGAGGGAGACCGCTGTCCTATCTGCCCAGTGCTGCCTCTGCTGCTTCCGGGGTTACTGTTGGTGCTCCTGGCAATAATCCTGGTTCTGGTTTTTTGGCTACAACGAAAATACAAAGCAAGTAAGTTCTTGACTGTTGTTTCGCCTGGATTTGGGATATAGACAGCAGGGCAGAGAGTAAGGGGGAGGGCAAGGGGGTCAGACTGGAATGCAGACAGGCTGGGGATGGCTCAGGGGTCAACCCTTGTCTAGCAGGCCTGAGGCCCTGGATTCCACCCCTGCACCTCAAAACCAAAAAGCTCCCCACACAACAATAATTCCCAAACAGTGGAGTGGAAAGAAGAGGAAGGGGAGGGTGAACGAGCGAGAATTCCCAAATGGCCCCCACTTGGGGGTCGTGCCCACCGGCCCAGGAAGGCCCCCCCAGCTGTAGGTTGCAGACAGAGCTGGCCACCGGACCTGCAGCTTGTGTGGTCACATGGCCTCCCCCAGAAAAGTCCCTAAAACTCTGCTGCCACCAACTCACAATTCCGAATAACTTCCTTTCTAAAGAATATATATAACCTGATATTCGCCAGTTTAACTCTTGTACATTCTTGTTGTTGGTCCATTTTGGCTGCTGGACTGGAACCCAGGGCCATGCACCTGCCGGGCCAGGGCTCTACCACCCAGCTGCCTCCCCAGCCCCCACTTTAACCATACAGTTCCGTGACGTGGAACACGGTCACATTGCTGTGCAGCTGTCCCCACATTCATGCCCCATCCTGTCCTCGCCTGGGCCCTGGCCGTCTTAGCCCATTTTCTGTTTCTGTAAAGGTGCTACTCTAGGTGCCTCCTGAGTGGCCTCACGCAGTAGCTGTCCTTTGGCATCTGGCTGATTTCACATCATGTCACGTCCTCAAGGTTCGCGCATGTGGCAGCGTGTAGCAGCATTTCCTCCCTTGTTAGGGCAGAAAAATACTTCCTTGTATGCACGCCCCACATTTTCTCCATCCAGTCGTTCCTCCTTGGTGGCCTGGGTGGCTTCCGCCCCCTGGCTACTGTAGGAATACTAGTATTTCGAACAGGAGACCCTCCTGTCCGTCTTGCACAGGGCCCTGCCTAGCATGGAGCTGGTCCTGGGTGCTAGCCTCCTCTATCACTGTCATAGAACTTGCCACGATCATTGACTATCTCTTGAAGAGGTGCCAAAACTTCTTATGACTGTTCCCTTCAGGAAGGAAAAACATGTGACCAGCCTTTTCTCTCTTTTGATACCAGGGATTAAACCTAGGGGCTCTTAACCACAGAGGCACATCACTGGCCTTTTTTATATTTTATTTTGAGATAGGGTATTGCTGAGTTGCTTAGGGCCTCGCTTAGTTGCTGATGCTGGATTTGAACTTGCAATTCTCCTGCCTCAGCCTCTGGAGTCACTGGGATCACAGGCGTGCACCACTGTGCCCAGCCTCTAATGTAATATTCTGGTCAAAGAATGTTCCTCTCAGGACCAGGATAGGAGGATTACCTCACCGAGGGCCCTAGCTTGGAGGAGCAGGTGCTTTGGACAAATGTAGGATTTCCGGCAGGAGAGTCCCCGAGTGAGCAGAGGGTGCCTGAGGCAGGGGCCAAGAAACAAAGTTCCCGGGGCTGCCTGTTGGGCCGCTCGCCTCCTCGCGAAGGCCATGGCTTCCAAGCTCCTGCGTGCGGTCATCCTAGGGCCGCCTGGCTCTGGCAAGGGCACCGTGTGCCAGAGGATCGCCCAGAACTTTGGCCTCCAGCATCTCTCCAGTGGCCACTTCTTGTGGGAGAACCTCAAAGCCAACACGGAAGTTGGCGAAATGGCAAGGCAGTACCTGGAGAAAGGTCTTTTGGTTCCAGATCACGTGATCACACGCCTAATGGTGTCAGAGCTGGAGCTCAGGAGCGGCCAACACTGGCTACTGGATGGTTTTCCAAGGACAATAGTACAGGATGAAGCCCTCGACAAAATCTGTGACCTGGATCTAGTGATCAGTTTGAACATTCCATTTGAAACACTTAAAGATCGTCTCAGTCGACGTTGGATTCACCCTCCTAGTGGAAGAGTCTATAATTTGGACTTCAACCCACCTCATGTGCATGGAATTGATGACATCACTGGTGAGCCACTGGTCCAGCAGGAGGATGATAAGCCTGAAGCAGTTGCTGCCAGGCTAAGACGGTATAAAGATGCAGCCAAACCAGTCATCGAACTATACAAGAGTCGAGGAGTGCTCCTCCAATTTTCTGGGACGGAGACAAACAAAATCTGGCCTTACGTTTACACACTGTTCTCCAACAAGATCACACCTATTCAGTCCAAAGAAGCCTACTGAGCCTGACCCATGAAAGAACCAAGAAGATGTGGTCGTACATTCAATCGTGTGTATAGCATTGATGCCATGTCCAAATTAGAAGTCAGCTGAGATAGCTTACAGCATCTTTTCTGTGTAAATGGTGAACTGATAGGAAAACTAGTAAATAGAAAGGGCTCATGAAGAGGCCCTCCTCTGTCTTTCAAAAGAAGGCAATTCTGGACCTGTCAAGCCCTTCACAAGCAAGCCAGTGCAGGCTGGATTTCAGGTGTCTAACCTACACTCTAGTTGGGTTTGGACAGCCAAGTTGTTGCTTTAATAGCCTCTTTTTGCTTGTGATGACGGTGGTCTCTGGTTCTCCCCACCCTTCCAAGGCTGTATTGAAACACAGAACCAGTAAACACGAGAATGCAGAGGACTCTAGTCTTGGCTTTGCCACAGTTCTCTGCTTTGTGCCCCCTCGTAACAGTGGAATTGAAGCTTATTGCTCTCAGTGGTTGCTTATCTTGAGTGACTGTGTTCACAATTCATTTTTTTTTTCCTGCTAAGAGTAACGCCTTTCATCCATGCTCCACAGTGTCCCTCCTTTGCAGACATCCTGGAATGAAAGGATTTGTTTTCTTACATCTGTTTTCTCTCATCTTAGGATATTAAATAGAGGCTATTAAATAACACAGATAGTTGCTGCATTTATCCCTCTCAAATTTATTTTTTTATGAACTGAGAGCTAGGGGTTACATTGAATCTCTTCATGCATCATGAACTGAGCCATGCAGAGGGTCTTATTTAAATGCTGGTCTGATTCTCATGGGCTTGTTCTGCTCATTTTATTGTGAAAAAAAAAATTAGAACCTCCCCCACTGAATCTTTTGGAATCCTCAAAAATTAATCTATAGAAATGTTGGAAGATTGTATTTTGTGTATAGAGGAAATAAGACCATATGGAATTACTGGACTAATAGAATAGTTAAGCTTTTTATTCAAGACAACAAAATGAATTTTGAATATGCTGCTAAATATTGATGGTGACAGTGTTTTTTCTTCTGTGAGTGATCCAAGCTGATTTATAAATAGTCTTTAAAGGGAACAGAGCCTTGTGGGGTTGAGGAAAATATTGCACTAGCTGTATCTAGATTAAGTTTGACAGCTTTACAACCCCCCCATCCCCCCATTCCAAAGATGCAGTCTATGGGGTGGCCATATAGCCTAGAAATAAAGATCTTAATATTTTGCTAAAAAAAAAAATGTAGGATTTCCCTTCATTAGACACCAGTTTAGGCCACTAGAGTAGCTGTTCTTTCTTTTGGAAGTTTGGAAAAAAATCTGCTCCTCGGCAGAGGAGACAAGGAGAAGGGAAAATGTGACCAAATTGGTTCAATTGAATGATTCTGTACCCATTTATGTAGAAAAAGCTACGAGAGAGAACGTGCCCAAGGACCCTGGAGACATATCCATGGAAGGTGAATTGTATGTCAACATCTGTGAAACTCTAGCAGGTGAGAGGACTTTGTTGAGTGCTTTGGTAGGTTTGGTCGGTTAGTTTGGGGTTCTTTTTGATTTTAAAGGCCTTTGAGACACATGGGGTAAATATGGAGCCAAAGGAACAGAACACAGCATCTCCCTCCCGCCCGACGTCCTGTCTCACCCCAGGGCCACAGAGATCCTCTGGCTCTGCTGGCATCTGGACAAATGGCAATTGTGGGGAGCCACTCCAAATGCATGCACCTTGAAGTCCTGATGCACCACAGGGATCTGAAAGATCACTTAGCTCCCAAGGATAATAAGGCGTGGCCCTGGAGTGGCCCTAGGAGTAGACGGCACCCAGAGGAGTTGAGCTACACTCGCCTGTAATCCTACCCTTGCCTCATTTGAATGGCTTCTTCACAATAAAAGGGTTCAGCACGTGCTCCTCCCTCTTTCCATGAACCCCTAAGGTCAGAGGAGCCATCACAGGACACCCCCCCCCAAAAAAAAGGTATTTCTCTGTCTCTATGTGATTATTTCATGCCAGCCCAGTTCATCTGGAGTGACTCTGTTTAGTCATGAGACATAACAGGCAACGGTGGCATGTGACATTCTATGCCGTGGATTTGTTTTTGTTTTTTTTTCCAATTTAAGATATCTTGATTTTTTTTTTAATAAGTTCAGAATGATCCACACTGTGTTCCAAAGTCCTCCATGATTATTTATTTATCTATTTATTTATTTATCGGCACTGAGGATCAAACCCGGGAGTGCTTTACCCTTCCTTGAGTTACATCCCAGCCCTTTTTATTTTTTGAGATTATGGATAAGTTGCTTAGGGTCTCACTAAGCTGATGAGGCTGCCCTCAAACTTTCAATCTTCCTGCCTCAGCCTCCGGAGCAGCTGGGATTACAGGCCACTATGCCTAGCTACCTTTTCTATTTTTTTTTTTAATTTATTTTTTTTATTGGTTGTTCAAAACATTATAAAGCTATTGACATATCATATTTCATACATTAGATTCAAGTTGGTTCTATTTTTTAAGAAACATAACTTTTTATTTATTTATTTTAACTGACAAATAAAAATCACAAAATTTTATCATGCACCACGTGTCATTTTGAAAGACACCTACATTACTTGGTTTTGGGGTATTTGCAGGACTGGAGAGGGAACCCCGGGTCACACGCTGGCTCCACCACCGAGCTGCACCCCGACATGGCTAAATGCAGCTGATAAGCACGAGCACTGCTTCACATGCGATCATTTTTGTGGAGAGAACACTTAAATCCTGCTCCCTCAGGGACTTTCAGGAACCCCTCTTCTGCAAGCTGTGAATCCACCCCTCAGTGTGGGGGGCAGGCTGCGCTTCGCGGTGAGGAAGACCCAAGGCCAGGGGCTCCGTCCTCCACCCCCCGGGCACTGGACGTTGCTAACCACCTCCCCGACTCCCCGTAGGTCTTTCCCATTTTGCGAACCAGGAATCTGCCCACACTGGCGTCAGGCGGGGTGTTCCCACAGTCCCGACGGCAAGTGCTTTCCGCGACGTCCATGGTCTGGACGCCACTGCCCCCGTGTGGCCAGAGATTCAAAGAACTGGCCCAGTAACTCCTGAGCCTTGTCTTTTTCCCAGGGACAAAACACACCCAGGAGATCCACTATGCCACCCCAGAGTTCGGGGAGGTGGCGCCAGGGAAGCCAGGTGAGCCACGGAGGTGGGGCAGTGACAAGAGCTGCTGTTGACAGATCAGGGTCCCTATGGCCACAGGCACAGCTCCGGAAGCCAATAGTACCCAAGAAAACTGCTCCGGACAAATCTCATCAGGAGATGGAGCAGTGGGAAAGAAAAAACGTGGGGTGGGAGATGTCCTGTAACAAGTCCCCAGAGGAGGATTCAGGGTCACTATACAATATTGTCAAGAATAAGTGTTTTAGCCGGGCCCAGTAGCACACGCCTGTATTCCCAGTGGCTCGGGAAGCTGAGGCAGGAGGATCACAAGTTCAAAGCCAACCTTCGCAAAAGCGAGGTGCTAAGCAACTCAGTGAGACCCTGTCTTTGAGTGTCCCTGAGTTCAATCAGAAGGAGAAGGAGAAGGAAAGTTGTTGTTTGGCCAACCACAGTGACAAAGGTTTGTAGTTCCAGAGACTCCGGAGGTTGAGGCAAGAGGATCACAAGTTTGGGGTTAGCCTCAGTAATTTAACAAGACCTTCAGCAACTTAGCAAGACCCTGTCTCAAAGAATAAAAAAGTCCTGGGGATGTGGCTCAGTGGTAAAGTAACCCTGGGTTCGATCCCCAGTACTAAATAGATAGATAGATAATTTGACACAGTCCAGGAAAAACCACTTAATGCTTTGTTCTAACAGGCTGTCTACCTCCTAGAAATAGGATTTCCTTTTCAAGTCCCTCTGTTCACATAGCTTACATTTATTGAATCACCATTTTTTTTTTCCTTTTATATTTCAGAAGCCTGTCATGATTATGTAACTGATTCTGCCTATTCTGAACTCGCCTTCTGAAATTCAAAGAAACCGATTACAAACAGTGTAAGACACTGTCTAGGAAAGCTGACTTAAGTGAAGGAAAAGCAGACTCATTTGGCATTTTGAAAGGTCCAACCTGGTCACCTAAAATGAATCTCTGGTTTTCATGGCTAAGCGCTATTCCTTTGAGCTGCTTGGGTGAACCCAGTGTCCTCGTCAGCAGTGATCAGGTGGACTCCCTGGTAACGGCCGGAGAGCTCTGCTTTGTAGGCACGGACCATCCTCCCAATTTCCTCGTCATTTTTATTTTTATTTTTCCCATTGTTTTTAGAAGAACAAGTCTTAGGCTGCGATGTTCTTCACAGTGTGTCCTGGAGGCATGACGATGACCATCATTCACGTTTCCCTGTCCCTGTGTCCACTGAGGGTTCTAAAGCAAAAACACAAAGCAAAATCCAGAAAGGTGATCTTGAAAGTGGATCAACTGGGGCAGGAAAGAGGAAGGAAAAGAAAAGAAGAAGAAGAAGAAAGAAGACAGAGGTCACTAGATAATCCAGGATGATCTCATTTCAAGATCCTTAATGTAACCGGCACAGTGGCGCCCACACGGCACCTGGGGAGGCTGAGACAGGAGGATTGCAAGTTCAAAGCCAGCCTTAGCAACATAGTGAGACTCTGTCTCAAAATTAAAAAAAAAAATAGACTGGGATGCAGTTCAGTGGTTAAGCGCCCCTGGGTTCAATCCCTGGTACACCCCACCTCCCCATCCCCCCCACACACACACCCGTGCAAAAAAAAAAAAAGATCCTTAATTTAATTACATCTACAAAGACTCTTTTCCCAAATAAAGTCCTGTTCACAAGTTCCAGGAGTTAGGACACAGACATGTTCTTGGGCTGCTACCAAAACATCATGGAGGACAAAATGATTTCTAGCTAGAGTGTCTTCTTCTGGGAGTTTGAAGTCAAGGAAAATAAAAGTTAACTGATATTTCTAGGGTCCCAGACAAACAGAACAACTTGACCAAAGTGTCGGTGCTCTGTTCTTGTTCCGGGGTGGCCTGAACCTCAGTCCTGATTATTCCTAGCAATGAACCTCCGAGTAGAGGCCACGGCCTCGGTGACGTCAACGCCCACAGCAATGGCATTAGTAACGTGCTTTGACAAGCGAGGAAACTCAGAAGAGTGAAGCAGAGTCACCACGGCCTGGCAAGCGGTTGAAGTAGGAGCTCGATCCTAGCAAACGGCAGCAGGAACGGCGCTTCAGGGTGGCCAGGAGTCAGTTTAAAGATTTTGCTGCCATGAAGCGGCATTCACAAGCTTCGTTCCCCACTTCCTCTGTCGATATTTTTATTTATGGAAATCAGTACATTACAGAGACTCAGTATATGCAGCTCCGGAGTCAGACCCAATCTGAACCTAGGCTGAGTCATGAGCTGTGTGACGCTGGATAAGTCACCTAACCTCTCTGGGCTTTGGTGTCCTCATTTATAAGGAAGTGGGTGGGAATAATACCCACATTGTGGTGAAATGAACTAGGGGAGTGGATGTGAAGGGCCCGAGCATGATCAGGTATCTAATAGAACCTCAGTCCCAGCCACTCCAAGGGCGGTGATGCTCACTCAGAGACAGACTAGCCGCGGTCACTCTTAGAAACCTTTAAGCCTTCAACGTCATAAACTTGGTGACTTGGCCACCACTGGCTTCCTCATCCGCCTTAACTTGAGCTCCCTCTAAAGCAGA